ACTAACACTAGCACTAGCTATACATCAAATCAAAAACAGTCTGGGGCTTCTCAGATGGTACGCTGGTAAAGAATTCACCTGCAGTGCAGGAGGCTCAGGTTCAATCCCTAGATCAGGAAGACGCCCTGTAGTAGGAAATAGCAATCTACCCCAGGATTCTTGCTTAGGAAATCCCATGGACAGAGGAGCCTGATGGGCTATAGCCCATGGGGCCAAAAAGAGTCAGACATGGCTGAGCACCTGAGCACACACATTCCCTTTCATTTCTTATCTCTCCTAACAGTTTACAATTTCCTTGAAGTCAGTAAGAAAACCTTATATGTTCTTGTTTGTTTTCATGCATCCATTATTTAATACATATTTATTAAGGTTCTATTTTGTGGCTGACACTGTATCAGGCTTAAGCCTGTTCTTTGACATAGTAAACCCCAAACAAATATTTATTGATAAATAAAATGCATGCCGTCTGCTAGCAAGTAGCACATTCATTTTAGAAACACTTTAAAAAGCTCTCTGATTTTGAGATCCTGTGACCACAAAAATCCCATAATCTTCAATAGCTCCTAGGTGTCAACTGTTGGGAGTTTCAACAATCAGGCTACAGCTGGGTTTAGAATATATTCACTTACTCACATTTTTCACAGTTTAGTGTAACTTTTGTTATTCCTGCTAAAAGAGTATTACCACCTTTCAGTTTTCTTCAATTTGGTATAAATTGCTATAAATAAATAAAATAGAAAAGTATTTAGCCACTTGACAACTATAATAATAGGGGACATTTCTATAATACTAGCTTTATAAATAAGCCAGAAACTCTCCAGATTTGGCAAGCTATAGCAGTAAAAATTGAGGAAAGTGAACGGTTTATTATAATTTAATGGCACAGATTTCTGTTGAGGGTTTATGTAATTTAGTTTACAAATATGCCCATAAAAAGAACATTTTGATATAATAAATATTCAAATAAATAAATAAATGTTACCATGACTGTTCTCTTGAGTGACAACAAACAGTTAGTACTATAGTCCCAGATGTTTACTTAAATTGGCCCTGAAAGATAGATAGACCACTGGGTAACCATCATGGTGATGGATGCACTTTTTATATTGAGACAGTTCTAAGGGGAAAATGGCTAGTCTATCTGCATACCATCCAGCTATACAGTATTTATCCATCATCATTTGTACCAGTTTCTTTAATACAGCTTTGGATTCAAAGAGATTCTTGATTTTTAGTGTGCACGCACACACACACACACACACACACACACACACAGAAAAGAAGGGAAAATCTTTAAAAAGAATTCTCTTTTTTAAATTAAAAGAAAGTTTTTTTTTTTGAGCTGCACCATAAGGCATTCGGGGTCTTAGTTCTCTGGGCAGGGATCAAACCTATGCCCCCTGAAGTAGAAATGCAGTCTCACTGCACCAATAGGCAGTCCCAAGAAATCTCTTTTTAATTGAGCTAGACATTGTGAGTAACAACTTGCAGGGATCATTCAAGGCTCATAATGAGGTTATCTTCTTCCAGAGTGGATTATTTTTCTTCTGTGGATATGTAGAAAGAACATTTATTATGAGGGATTGGCTCGCATGATTATGGAGACTGAGAAGTCCCACGATAGGCTATCTGCAAGCTGGAGGTTCAGGAAACCAGCGGTGTAGTTCCAGTCCACACCCAAAGCCTACGAACCAGGAGAGCCAATGGTGTATGTTCCAGTAGGAGTCTCAAGGCTAATGGCGAAGGAGAAGATGAGTCTTCTCCTTGAGAGAGAGCACACTGGTCCTTCCTCAGTCTTTTTGTTGAGGCCCTCAGTGAATTAAATCAGGAGTCCCCCGGCCTGCTAGGAACTGGGCCACACAGGAGGAGGTGAATGGTGGGTGAGCAAATGAAGCTTCATCTGTATTTACAACTGCTCCCCATCCCTCACATCACTGCCTGAGCTCTGCCTCATGTCAGATCAGCAGTGGCATTAGATTCTCTTAGGAGGACAAACCCTACTAAGAACTGCCCATGGGAGAGATCTAAGTTGTCCACTCCATATGAGAATCTAACGCCTGGTGATCTGAGGTGGAGCTGACTCAGTGATGCTAGTGCCGGGGAGCAGCTGCAAACGCAGATTATCATTAGCAGAGACGTTTGCACAGAGAACATAATAAATCAGTTGCTTGCAGACTCACATCAACACCTCACTGATAAGGGAGTGGTAAGTGACAATTGTATAATTATTTCATTATATATTACAATATAATAATAATAGAAATAAAGTGCACAGTAAATGTAATGCACTTGAATCATCCTGAAACCACCCCCCATCCTAGTCTGTGGAAAATTGTCTTCTACAAAAATCAGTTCCTGGTGCCAAAAAGGCTGAAGACCACTGGATTAAATAATGCCCCAGGATTCTTGTGTTTTTATCAGCCATCTAGGCTAACGGCAGATCTAAGTCCAAGTAAGGATGGAAATGACTTCAACCGAGCTTCAGCTGTGAAGAAAACTGGTCTTCTCTAGGGTTTGCCGGAAGCACTGCTCAATGTTTCTGCCTCTGCCCCACACTTTTGCTTTTGCAACCAGCAAGTTCCTTGTGAGGAAAAGTAGCTTCAAAGGCAGGTCTCTTCTCCTTCAGCTTCTCTCTGCTTCTGGATCTTTGCCCTGGAATTTCCCCTGCCTTGGGAGTTCTCCATTGCCTCAATGGGGTGTTTAGTATGCTTTGTTTTGCTCGTATTATTCTCAGGAGGTTTGCTCTAAATCAACTTTACAGCCAGAAGTAGAAGTTCCTTTACCCTTATATTAACTGTCAATGTCACAACTCATCTAGTACTTCCAGCTAATTATCTGGGATTGATCCTCAATAGTTCAATACCTCTCTCTCTCTTTTTTTTTTGCCTACTCTGCACTTGTAGAAATGTCTCTCAAAACCAGACTCTTCCGCTACTCACTGACCTTGATCAACCAGGTTACAATTGCCTGTGCAGTTTCTATCTGATCTTCCTGCCACAAAAATCTTTCAAATCTAGTCTTCAGTAGGACTGTGTCGAAGTTCATTTAAGCTGCTATAACAGAATACTATAGACCATGTGGCTTATAAACAACAGCAATTTATTCTCACAGCTCTGGAGGTTGGGAGTCCAAAATCGCACTGTTGGCCAATTCAGAGTCTGGTGAGAATCCACTTCAGGGTTCTTAGGCAGCCGTCTTCTTGCTGTGTCCGCACATGATGGAAGGGGCTCAACAGCAGTTCATGGACTCTTTTACAAGGTCATGAAGCCTATTTATGAGGGCTCCACCCTCACAACCCAATCACCTCCTACATCCCAGAGGCTCTACCATCTCATTGGACATTGGGTTTCCAATTTGACTTTTGAGGGGACACTTTCTGTCTACAGTGGACAATGTAGCATCAAACGTCCTGGAGATTAAATAGTTAAACAGGAATCCTGTACTCTGAACTGCTAGTTAAGAAAGACAATGGAATCCTCCAGGAAGTTATGACAACTCTGTGTCTACTCAGTGAAAGAAAGATGTCCCTTTTTGGCTTTGAGTCAATCAAGAAGTGTCTCATTCACCCAATGGGAGCTGCCCACAAGCCAGCTTCAGTTAGCACCAGAATCAAAGGTAGCTGATCTAATGACGCCAGTATATACTGACTGAAGGACCCTACAAGCAGGAGAGCAGCCTCACCACCCCAAAGAGACGTGAACAGCACAAAGTTTTTAGAGAATCTCAGGAGGAAACCAAGTCTCTTTATTAAGAGTTTGATACTTACAGTATTGGGCTGGCAAAAAAAGAGGTGTGTTCTGGTTTTTCCATAAGATATCACAGGAAAACCCAGATGAACTTTTTGGCCAACCCAATAAAACAGGAACTAGTAAAGATAAGCACATATTTCTGAATTGTCTTAACTTGGCACAAGACAAAACCTGTGCTGATGCGAAGCAAAGAAAAGCACAGTGATGTAGCCCAGGCAGACACACCAATACCTGGCTTGGCTTTACTCTATGAGCAGCTTTAAGAGGAGGAAGGGGTGCCAGAGAAGTACTCAGGCAACCCCCACCATAGGATATTTTTTTGATATAATTTATTCTGTCTGGGTAGGCTCCAAGTGATGCCAGCACAGACAGCTCTGTAATCATCCACTGATAACCTGGTCCTGTCAGGCTGACATTACTTCCCTGGTTATTACCTGGAGCATCTCATATTTCTGAATGTTGCTGAGATTAAAAAACTAATGAGAAAAACTGGAAAGGAATATGCTGAAAGGAACATGGCTTTTGTTCTATAGTGATGGGACCATAGATGATTTTTATCTATGTTTTCCAAAATTCCATACAAGATAAATAAATAAATGTCAAATACAAACAGTACAAGGAAGCAGCAAAATCTTCTAAAATAATAAAAAGTACAGCAAAAACTTTCTCTTTGAACTTGAGATTTTTGTAATTACATTAACAACATAATTACAAATTTCTATGTATAAGATGGAGTTAGAGGGCCTTGTGTCTCATGAAAGACTCTTAGAAGGAAATGTTCCTGATTGTCAGTTGGCTTCCTCTACTTTTCTTTTTAACAACACATTATGGGACTTTCCTGGTGGTTCAGTTGTTAGAAATCCACCTGCCGAAGCAGGGGACACAGGTTCAACCCCTGGTGCAGGAAGATCCCACAAGCTGCAGCGCAAATAAGCCTGTGCACAAGTACTAAGCCTGTGCTCTAGAGCCTGGGAATCACAGCTACTGAGCCCGTGCTCCACAGCCCGTGCCCACAGCCCGTGCTCCACAAGAAGAGACGCCACTGCAATGAGAAGCCCAAGCACCACAACTAGAGAGTAGCTCCCGCTCACTGTACAGAAAGTCTATGCACAGCAGTGAAGACTCAAAACAGCCAAAAATAAAATAAAATAAAACAAGCAACGAAAAACCCCAACACATCACTTATTCTCTCCACAGAGAAAATGTACAAAACATTTTTAAACTCATATTATTTATGGAAAAACTTTTTACCTAAAATTCTCATATTCTTCTACTTGTCGTTTCCATGGACAGCTCTGGATATTTGTGATAATCTGAAGATAGTCATCCTCTGAATACCTAAAAGTCAAATGTCAATGAAATTAGAAAATAAAGATCTCACTTATACTGATAAATGAATATATAAGTCATCGAAAGACATTTATAATCTCATTCTAGCCCTCTAAATCTTTTCTTAAATAAGGTGATATAGAAACAAGGAAACCTCATACTCATGTCAAGACATCTAGGAGCATGCAATTCACAAATAATTATTGTTGATCAAGGAATATGTAATTTGCATGCATCATAAGTCAAGTTTAGTATTACAAACCAACCATGACAGCACATCAATTCACACACATATCTTATGGCTATTTCACCTTAGCTTTTCATTAACAAATACATATATTTTCATAGACATTTACCATAAATATAAAGTTTATCATCTTTTTCAGACTCTAAGTTGATAGATTTCCCTTGGGATATATGGAAAACATTTCTCAAAAGTAATCATCTTAACCTTTGATTTTGAACAGAACATTTAAAAAAACAGATTAGGACAGGTTAAAAGAGATGTATATTGGGCATTAAAAAATCTACAGGCACAGTTATACAGTATGGCCTGTTCCCAGTCCCTGGTAGACCTCCCTCCATCTGAAATTTCATCATTAATTAATAACTCCTTTAATCATAAAATAGCCTCTAGTCTTTAAGGGTTATCAGTTAAAAATGCATATATCATTTTGAGTGAAAAAAAAAAAAACCATTAAATTTCCTTTCAATGAATATCATACTCACTAGTTGCCAGCTATGATCAAGGTTTTGCAATAAAGAGATGGAATAGATGTTAGTGAGTGGGTGGGGAAGGCAATAAATAATCTTGTCAGGAAAATATCTTCCCCACCACCACAGAGTACAATGCATCCCCTCCAAACTTTACCTCTAAAAGGCGTATTTATTAGAGGTTGGAAAGGTAGTCGACCAAGTAACTCCTTTGCCCTTGAAAAAGGAGTTACTTGGTTGACTACCTTCCCAACCTCTAATAAATGGAGAAGGCAATGGCACCCCACTCCAGTACTCTTGCCTGGAAAATCCCATGGATGGAGGAGCCTGGTAGGCTGCGGTCCATGGGGTCACTAAGAGTCGGACACAACTGAGCAACTTCACTTCACTTTAGGGTAGCTCTCTTGTCCATGTTGTCACCAAGATTAATCAAAGATATTTTCTCTTGGTTCCCACTGAAGAAAAGTTGAAAATCTTGAAAGACTTTGCTAAATACTAAAGGAAAAGCAAAGCAAAGCAAAGAGCTATTACAGAAGAGATTAAAAATAGTTTTAGGGACTTTCTCAGTGGTCCAGCAGTTAAGACCTCACCTTCCAATGCAAGTTCAATTCCTGGTCAGGGAGCTAAGTCAAAAAAACCACAATATAAAACAGCAGCAATAGTGTACCAAATTCAATAAACACTTTTAAAATGCTCCACATTTTTTAAACAGTCTCTTAAAAAAAAAGTGTTACTTGCATACAGGCTTCATTTTATCTTACCCCCGTGGGCCCCAAGACTTGTCACCAAGGAACTTGAGAAACCTATACTTTAGCCTCATAGCTTTGTCTAGATGTGATGCGTCCCTGCTGGAGTGAGGAGGTGCCTGCCTCCACATGGTGACAGTTATCTAAACTTGTTGTTGTTTAGTTGCTAAGTCACATCCAACTCTTGTAACCCCATGGGTTATAGCCCTCCAGGCTCCTGTGTCCATGGGATTTCCCAGGCAAGAATACTGGAGTTGGTTGCCATTCCCTTCTCCAGGGGATCTTCCCAACCCAGGGATCAAACCCAAATCTCCTGCATTGCAGGCAGACACTGAGCTACCAGGGCAGGGCAATTTCATATCTAAGCTTAGTCTAGAACATTAAAATTCTCATTCATTTCCAATCAGAATAAAGGTGTACTGTAAAATACATAGCCTTTAAAATGTTTTGTTTTCATGAGATATATCCTCCAATAAATTGTAGTTGGCTCCAATTTAAATTTAACTTAATATTGAAAGATGTTAATGGTAATGTATATAATTTTACTAGCAAGTTAGCTGCCTAGAAGGGCTTTTGACTTTAAAGTCCTTGATATTTATTTATTTTTAAGAGTTTTTCTTTTTCTGTTGTTGTTTTTCTTTTTTTCTTCTGTTTTTTTTTATTTTATTTTGTATTTTTAAGATTTTTTTGATGTGGACCATTTAAAAAATCTTTATTGAATTTGTTACGATATTCTTTTTTTTTTCCATTTATTTTTATTAGTTGGAGGCTAATTACTTTACAACATTGCAGTGGTTTTTGTCATACATTGAAATGAATTAGCCATGGATTTACATGTATTCCCCATCTCGGTCCCCCCTCCCACCTCCCTCTCCACCCCATCCCTCTGGGTCTTCTCAGTTCACCAGGCCTGTTACGATATTCTTCTATATTATGTTTTCGGTGGTTTTTTTTTTTTTTTTTTTTTTTTGGCCTAGAGGCATGTGGACTCTTAGCTCCCTGACCAGAGATCAAACCAGCAGCCCCTGCACTGGAAGGTGAGGTCTTAACCACTGAACCACTAAGGAAATCTCTATAGTCCCTAATATTTAAAACCAAGTTGAATACATTACAGCAGACCTATCTTCTATTAAAGGAGAAATACTCCTGGCCATTTTACAACCAGAAGACAACACTCGAGCTACCTGGGGTTGCTATGTTCAAAGAATCTCTTTTTATGTCCAGTCTAGAAAGGAAGCATTATCCTCTGATATTATAAAGGGGAAGACCAGAGAATAAGAAACTGAAGGGAGCTGAAGGGAGTTTTTTCCCCCTACGCGCTTGCCCTTTTGTTTTACTAAAAAATAAATCACCAATCAGCTTTTTTGGAAAACTAAGATCACCACAGTACTATCATGATTCACAAGCAGGGAGCATGGCTAGAGAAGAAAAGAGCACATGAGTGTCTCAAGTGTGGGCTAATCTGTGAAACAGATGTGCCTCTGTACTAGTTTCCTCCTGGGCTTCCCTGGTGGTCCCGTGTGGTTAGGGATCCACCTACAGTGCAGGGACACTGGTCTGACCCCTGGTCCAGGAAGACCCCACATGATCAGAGCAATTAAGCCGTGCACTACAACTCCTGAGCCAGCACTCCAGAGCCCAGCAACAGCAACTACTGCGCTCTCGAACTGCAACTCTTGAGTCTGTGCTCACCCACTGAGAGCTGAGAGCGGCAACTACTGAAGCCTGCACGCCCTAGAGTTGTGCTCTCCGCAACAGGAGAGGCCTCTGTAATGAGAAGCCGAAGAACCGCAACAAAGAGTAGCGCCTGCTCACTGCAAATAGAGAAAGTCTGTATGCAGAAACGAAGATGCAATACAGTCAAAAAAATAAAATAAATAAATCTTAAAAAAACCCAACAACTTTCCTGTTGAGCTCTAAATCACACTTTCTGCAAATTTACATTTATAGTTGGTTTTCAGTTGCAAGGTACAGCCTTTACCCCACAACTGTGAGAGGCAGCTACCTATGATGTCACCCCCATTAAGGACAACAAAACTAAAAGTTCTGAGATGAACAGCTTACTCAATGTTGTATTATAAGCAGATGAGCTAAGAATTAAAGTCACATTTTTGATTCAGAGTCTGGCTCTCTTTCCAATATATCATGCTGCATCTCATCTATTTTCATAATGAAACTAAAAATTAATCCCATCAGAAGTATTTTCTGGTACCAAGACATACAATAAATCATACTAAATAATGCAGCAAGTTATTTTCAAAAGAATAAATAATGTCTATTTAAGTCATTATTAATAACACTCAAAATGAGATGTAGATTATAAATAACATACACAATGATACTAAGTAAATGTAATATCAAATTTTTAAATATTTTCTAAGACAAATACTGTATGATATCACTTACAGGTGGAATCTGAAAGAAAAAAAAAAAACCTAGGGAATATAATGAAAAAGAAACAGATTCACAGATACAGAGAACAAACTAGTGGTTACCAGTAGGGAAGGACAAGACAAGAATAGGGAATTAAGAGGTACAAACGACTGTGTATAAAATAAATAAGCTACAAGGATCTATTGTACAGCACAGGGAGAAAAGCCACTGTTTTATACTAACTATAAATGGGGTATGGGCTTCCCCAGTGGCTCAGTGGTAAAGAATCCACCTGCAACACAGAAGATGTGGTTTGATCTCTGGGTCAGGAAGACGTCCTGGAGAAGGGAATAGCAACCCACTCCAGTATTCTTGCCTGGAAAACTCCATGGATAGAGGAGCCTGGAGGGCAACAGTCCATGGGGTTGCTACAACACTGTGGCAATGAAGATCAAAGATTCTGAGTGCCGCAACCAAGACAGCACAGCCAGATAAATACAATAAATATTTTTTTAAAAGATATAAATAGAGCTTTTCAAAAGTTATAATTTATGGTTAATTATATTTTGGTTAGTTAATTAGTATTTTGGTCATCTGATGCGAACAGCTGACTCATTGGAAAAGTCCCTGATACTAGGAAAGATCATGGGCAGAAGGAGAAGAGGGTGTCAGAGGATGAGATGGCTGAATGGGATCACAGATGCAATGGATACGAACTTGGGCAAACTTCAGGAGATGTTGAGGGACAGGGAGGCTTGGCATGATGCAGTCCATGAGGTCACAAAGAGTTGGACATGACTGGGCAAGTGAACAACAACAGTGGATAGTTAACTTAACCATTAAATATTTATTGGATACTTATCAGGTGCCCAGACCTTATCTTAGGATATTCATCTATCAATCCTACTTAAGCAGTTGAGATACAAATGTAGTTTCCAATAATATCTCTTCATGTTGTGAAAGTCAATTTTTCTGTCTATTGAAATGGATGAAGACACTCCAATAATATTAAGTCAATAGGCTTCTACATGGTATTCTATGTAGATCAAACATCTTTTGTAGTTAGTTTCTACAAAACCCCTGAAGAGCTCAGGCCTACATAAAAATAAATTTTGCAAGTCAATATGGTGGTAGAAGATTTTCAGTCAACACAGTCAATCATTTCCACTGGGAAAT